GGGCGCCGACGTCGATCTGGACAGGGGAGCTGGGCGCCAAGTAGCAGGGCACCAACAAGATGGCGCCAAGCCGGTGGGTTGACCTAGGAGGACGTTGGGCGTCGACTAGCTGGCACCGACCTTGGGGACGCCGGTCACGGGTGGTCGGCGACCGACAGGGCTGGCCGACCAAGCATGGTTGCCCGGTCGACCGGGATACCCGGGCGACGTGTGCGAAGGTCGCCAGGGTGGCTTACGCGAGGCTGACCTCGAAAGTGGTTTCCCGATGTCGACGTGGCTGGTGGGCACAGTCGCTGTCGTGGATTCGACCTGGGCGTCTGTGTTGTGCACCAACCAGCTGCGCGCACTTGCAAAGCAGGTGCACGTTGTCCTGCGGGTGCAACGATGTTCAGCCGACTTACTGCAGCGTTGGCACGCCGTGGACTTGCAACGTTGGCGAACCGCTACTCTGCAACGCTGGAGCGGTGCAAGCTCTGCTGCGCTGGATCGCGGTCGACCATGCTGCGCTGGAGGCCGACTAGCAGCCTAGCTAGCTCTGATATAGGTTGTGTTGCCAGTGCTGTTGCACCATTGTTGTGAACTTTTGCTAGTGAAACTCTTGCGAAATTCCCCATGAACCAGCAAATAGTGCAAGCACAAGTAAACGAGGCAGGAACGAACACAGAGATCACCCGAGCATCCGTGCCTTGCCCACAGTCTAGCTCCCGTTGCTAAAGTTATCCCCGCAAATCGGACCATGGAGCAGTTGATTTGTGCCATGCATGACGATCCCACAACATGGGAGCAGCAACTGCCGTTGATCGCGTTCGCTTACAACAACGCCACGTCGGCAATTACGTAGCAGTCTCCGTTTCGCCTAAATTATACGCAGAACCCTACAGTGCCCATGATGCCGAACCTAGACAACCTGACACCACGAACTCAACATTTAGCCCGTCGTTCTACGCCAGTTCTTCGCCCGCACATCTTAAAGCAAGGGTGCACTTTGGGGGGGTTGGTGTTATGAATGAACTTGCAGAGTGCGCAGTAAAACGAATAACGAGAATGACTGATTACTGAATTACTGAATGACTGAATTCCGATACAATGAGAAAGGCACGACTAAATAGGGGAAGTCCTAGCTAGGCGGAGAGGTTGGGCGAGGATGGCTCGATGATGGTTGCGATTGGAGCGGAGGCGACTTGGGAGTGGTTCGGTGCGACGAAATAGGAAGGTCAGGTTCGTCGCGTGACCCTCGGGATGGCCTCGCTAACGAGTGCCTCAGTAAGGATTCTGTAAATCCTTACACTCTCCCACCTTCTAAATAAGGCAGTCCTGTACTGAAAACGGACCCCACACTAGCAAGGATGCCGTAGATCTCCCCTTCAGCTGAATCCAACGGCCGAAATGCCTTCGATAATATTTTTGAAAAGGTTGGAAGGTAGGCCGTTGATGTAGCCAGATTTCGATCTGACGGTCGACGATGAACTAGCTCAAAATGAAGTTGAAGTTGGAATGTGGGCCGCTGATGAAGCAGATGTGGATCTGACGGTCGAAGACTGACGCGAGAAGGGAGGGAACCTGCTGACGCGAATTCAAACGCGATGTAGCAGAATCCGTTGATCTTGTCGGTGTGATCGCGATCGTCCGTCGTGCTGACGCAACCTGACAAAGTCAGAAAGGACCGAGAAAAACGCCAAGGAAAGAACAGTGCAAAGCACTTTCTCCCCCCCTCCAAGAAAGCACACCAGGAAATGTTTCACAGCTGCGCCGAGATGAAAACCAACAAAAATCCAGGCGTTAAGTCCCACGAAGAAGAGTGTTGAGCGGAAAGTTGATGATGAAATCGGGTGTGACGTGCCCAAAAAGTCTTCAAGGGTGAACCCGCGTAAGTAGACCAGAAACTGAAACTAAAATTATCGAATACTCGAACTGAACCGTTTTGTCTTCACGTCGCGAGAATCAGCCGATATCTTTAGCAGTTGCAGTTGGCAGCACCTGACGTGGTTGATATTGAATGCAGTTGTCGTGGGCGGGTCGAAGGCGAGGTGTCGGTAGCAGAGTTGGAATGGTTTCTTCCGAGAAATTTGTCGTAATGCGCCGAGAGTTCGAGGGCAGGGATGAAATTTTACAGCTGTCGCTCCCCCCCGTCACTGTTGTTGCCGCCTTCTTCAGTTCGTCGTAAGTCGTTCGTACCCCTTGAAAACTCCGTGTAGTTCCGGCGGTGTTGCCCAGCGTAGATGTCGCGCGCGTTTAACCAAACGCCGAAATCTCCTCCGAAATTGTTGCCGCTTCTCGCCGTAAAACCTGTAAGTCCCGCGTAAACTCCGAAAATGTCGTTTGAACACAGCCCCGAAAATCCGCAGATGCAGGTGCAGCTCTCCTCCGAAAATCTCGGTTGTTCTATAGCCGCCCACTCGGTCACCATCAGTTTCCGTCGGTTACCCGACCCCAGCATGTGGGTTCAATCGAGAACCGGGGACTGCCCAGGGCTATTCCGAGACCGAATTTCACGGAACCTAGAGGCATCAACGCCGTTGACTCCGTAGTCGAAACTGCTCCCGCCGATGCTGTTCAATAAAAACCCACGTTTCTCCCACCAGCGCTTTGTAGATGTTTCACCGCATCGCTCGTCGCCGGTCGATCAGTTCCCGAAGCTACGACTGCTCCCACGCTCCCCTTTTTTTAAGAATTTCCCGAGGTGTGCGTTTAAACACCGGGGGTCCTAGGTATCCTTGCCGTTGTGTTTCTTTCCAGGCAACTTCGAGAAGTGCCCTTCAAGCGAAGTCCCCCAACGACTCAACCGCACTCCAAGAAGCGAAGAAATACCCGCAGCTTCATAATTTTTTGGTCGTTTCACCCCCCGACAATTCCGCTTCCCGCCGTTCACCCAGCATCCGCATTTTTCAGATGGGGTATAGTCGGTGTTGCCCGCGCGAACCCAGCCACGGTGGAGGGGCAAAAACTATCGGAGTTGGGGTCCCTTAATTAAAAGGATCGGTCGCCCAACCGTTTTGCAGCCCACCGCGACCGTCACGCCACTAAACTCCACAGTATCCCGGTCCCTGCTTTGCCGCTGCGTCGTCACCTCGTGTAGACGCCCGGGTCAGGAGAAACCAGCGAACTGCACCATTGTTGTCCTTGCGGCGCCCCGATTTTTTCGCGTGGTGTTTCACCCAGCCCGCTTTTGTCGGAGCAGAACAGTGCCGCAACTCCACCTATTTTTTTGTTTTTTTTGTACAGCTGTCGAACGAGCACCAATCCAGGTACCTTTAACCAGCACAAGGTAGGCCCGTGTTCACCCCCGTTATTTGGCCAAGCAAGTTGACTGCATGAGTCAGAACTAGAAACTTGGTGGGGATGGTGAGGTTCGGGCGACGGAAGGTCACAGATCGTTCACACCGGCTTTTAACCTGCCCTTCACGCCGTTCTTCAACCCCCGCTTAGCCGTCGAGTAGTTTCTTCTCGTGTGTCCCAGCGGCCTGTACCACTCTCCTCCGTAATTGTCGGCGTGGTACCTTGAACACCGTTTAATCGTGGGTTGTTGAGGCTGTCCCCGAAAATGACTTCCTTACAGGGAATCCACTCTCGAAATTGCCGGCCAGCAGTCAACAGTACCAGGCACGCAGCGTCATCCGAGTGTTCTTCGGGGTGTATGGGCCCGAATTGCCCTCGCCGCCTGCGTCCCACTCCTCCTGAGTGCGATTTAGCCACTCCGTTTTCTGTTGCAACCCGTAAGTGTCGGCGGGTCTGAAGTTCCCGTCTGTCCACGTGCGCTCCTGCCAAAATCTTCGATGACGCGCCCGCCATGCAGTAAAAGCCGCTGCACTTCAGGTCGGGCGGGACGACAGTTGACTGTCAGAACATTATAGCTTATGCTTTTGTGTAGGCTATAGTGGGGTATCCCATAGGGGGTACAACCCAATTAGGGTTAGTACTTGTACCCACTTCATTCATAGTTCATTCATTCGCGTTCACTTCTTCACATGGAATCAGAGCAGGTCCCCTCCTAGGGACTGTTCCTAGGGCCCACCGAAGCGCGCCCCGAGGCGCGCGTTCCTTTTTTTTTAGCGACCCTCCGTGTCGCCCCTAGCGGCCCGTTACGCCGCCCTTACCTACGCGGCCCCGCCGCCCTTACCTACGCAGCCCCGCCGCCCTTACCTACGCGGCCCCGCCGCCCTTACGTCGCGGCCCCGCCGCCCTCACGTCGCGGCCCCGCCGCCTCACCTACGCGCCCCCCCCCCCCCCCCCCGCCCTTACGTCGCGGCCCCGCCGCCCTTACATCGCGGCCCCGCCGCCCTCACGTCGAGGCCCTGCCGCCTCACCTACGTGGCCCCCCCCGCCCTTACCTACGCGGCCCCGCCGCCCTTACCTACGCGGCCCCGCCGCCCTTACCTACGTGGCCCCGCCTCCCTTACCTACGCGGCCCCGCCGCCCTTACGTCGCGGCCCCGCCGCCCTCACGTCGCGGCCCCACCGCCCTCACCTACGCGGCGCCGCCGCCCTCACCTCCACGGCCTCGCCGCCCTCACCTACGCGGCCCCGCCGCCCTCACCTTCGCGGCCTCGCCGCCCTCACCTTCGCGGCCCCGCCGCCCTCACCTACGCGGCCCCGCCGCCCTCATCTTCGCGACCTCGCCGCCCGTGCCTACGCGGCCCCGCCGCCTTCTCCTACGCGGCCCCGCCGCCCTCACGTCGCGGCCCCGCCGCCCACACCTTCGCGGCCCCGCCGGTCTCCCCTCCTGCCGAGCCGCCCGAGCAGCCGCCCGCCACGCCGCCCGGTACCGGAGCAGCCGAGTCGCCCAGCAGCAGCCGCCGAGCCGCCGGGCCGCCGAGCCGCAGTGCAGCCGAGCCGCCCAGCAGCAGCCGCCGAGCCGCCGGGCCGCCGAGCCGCAGTACCGCCGAGCCGCCCCGCAGCCGAGCCGCACTACTGCCGAGCCGCTCGACCTGCCCTATCTGGTGAGCACAGCCCCACTGCTACTGCGTGCCCTTCCCCCACTGCTTGCACTGCTAGTCTGTCGTCATGGCTACCCCTAGTGTCCTCGCTTTTGACGCTGAGGGTCGAGCCATTGACTTTGAGGTCTGGGTCAACGACCTGCAGCTGTTTTTACAGTGCGATAGGGCGGACAGTCTTTCTCTCTTTGACCTCACCTCTGGCGCCTCCCCTGCTCCTGCTGCTGATGCTGACCCCACTCTTCGCTCTCAGTGGGCCACCCGCGATGCTCCTGCACGTCTTGCTGTGCGTCGCCACCTGCCGACCACTGAGCGCGCGCACTTTAGTCAGTACAAGAGTGCTCAGACCTTGTACGACGCTGTAGTTGCGCGCTACTCTTCCCCTGCCACTGCTGCACTGAGCCGCCTCATGCTACCGTACCTCTTTCCTGACCTGGCTGCCTTCCTACAGTCGCTGACCTCATCACGCACCTCCGCACTTCTGACACTCACTACCGCGCCGCACTTCCTGCTGAGTTCTGCACCAGGAACCCCCCCCCCCCATGTACATCGCTCTCTATTACATAGTCACTCGCCTCCCTGACTCCCTTCGGATAGTCAGGGACCACTTCCTCTCAGTCTGTCCCACCACCCTCACTATCGACCTCCTCAAGAAGGCCCTCCTAGCGGCGGAGAAGAGCATAGTCGCTGTAGGAGCCTCTCGTGGTGACCCGCGCACCCCCATCTTTGAGGGGTGTTCTCCTTCCCCCCTGCTGCCCTCTGTTGCCTCTGCTGCTGCTGCCGACTTGCTTGGTCTTGAGTCGGTCGGCGCGGCGTCTGCCCCTAGCGGGAGACGCCGCCCTGGCAAGGGCAAGGGGGGCAAGGGCGCGGGTGGAGCTGGCGGGGGAGGTGGAGGTGGCAGTGGCGATGGCGGAGGGAGTGGGGGTGGCGGTGGGAGTGGTGGTGGGGGTGGTGGTGGTGGTGGCGGCAGCGGAGGCGACGGCGGTGGCGGCGGCGGCGGTGGGAGCGGAGGCGGCGGTGGTGGCGGAGGTGGAGGCAGCGGTGGCGGAGGAGGTGGAGCCGGTCGGGGTAGTGCCCCGCAGCGGAGCGGCTCTGGTGGTGGTCAGCGCCAGCAGCAGCAGCAGCAGCAGCGTTCTCGGGACATCCCCCCGCCTCAACAGCTCCGTGAGTGGTACACGCAGCGTCAGCGTGGTGGGGGTCTTGGCCCGTGCACCTACGTTCTTCGTTCCGGCGACCGCGCGGGTGAGCAATGTGGGGGTGGCCACTCCACCCAGCGCTGCTTTCGCCGCCTGACGGACGCTTGGCGTCAGCAGTTCCCCGAGGCTAGTGAGATTCCCCGCTGGGGAGAGCTGTCTAGTGCTGGTGTAGCGATCTTTGATCTTGACTTTAATGCTATCCTTGCTGCCATGTATGCTGTGACTATTAGTGATGAGGGTGACTGTTACCGGTGTTTCCCGCCCGACCCGGGCATTGGTACTGCTGCGCTAGGTGCTTGTGAGGCTACTGCTCTAGGTGCCAGTGCGTCTGCACTCTCAGGTACTGGTGAGGCTGCGCTCTCAGGTACTGCGTCGGCTTCGGCCTCCCTCACCTTCACAATTGACTCAGGGGCTTCTCGCTCCTTCTTTCGAGACCGCACCACACTCACGCCGCTTGGTCGGCCGGTTGCAGTCTCCCTGGCTGACCCCTCTGGGGGTCCTGTCCTCTCTCACTTCTCCACTGTCCTCCCGTGTCCGGCTGCCCCCTCGGGCACCCTGTCGGGTCTGTACCTCCCCTCGTTCTCGACGAACTTGGTGAGTGGTGCTGACCTGCAGGATGCGAGGATTCACCAGTTTACTCCTGCGAGTCAGCGGGTGACCCACTGCTCGGACGCCCGCACAGGCCGACACCTAGCCACGTTTTCGCGTCGGCCCGGGTCGAGTCTCTACACCCTGACCACTGAGTCTCCTTCAGTCCCTGCGTCTGGCCAGGTAGCTGCGTCGAGTCAGGTGTTTGCTGCTGCGTCTAGGTCTGGTCCTGAGTCTGCCCCCTGCTCGTGTCGCCTCCTGTCTCACGAGACTCTCTTGTGGCACCACCGTCTTGGCCACCCCTCCTTGCCTCGTCTTCGGGGCATGGCTTCCCGTGTCCATGTCTCTGGTCTCCCCCGATCTCTCCCTCCCCTTCCTTCGGGGCCAGGACCTTCCTGTGTCCCCTGTGTCGAGGGGCGGCTCCGGGCTGCCCCTCACTCCTCCCAGTTTCCCCCGACAGAGGCTCCTCTGCAGACGCTTCACATGGACGTGTGGGGCCCGGCCCGCGTCCGTGGTCAGGGTCACGAGCGCTACTTCGTGCTGGTGGTTAACGACTACTCGCGTTACACCACAGTCTTTCCCTTGCGTAGCAAGGGTGATGTCACTGAGGTGTTGATCGACTAGATCCGCGCAGCTCGTCTCCAACTCAGGAGGAGCTTCGGCTCGGACTTTCCTGTTCTGCGTCTGCACTCTGACCGAGGCGGAGAGTTCTCCTCTGGCCTTCTGCGAGCCTACTGTCGTGCACGAGGCATCCGCCAGACCTTCACGCTTCCGGACTCTCCACAGCAAAATGGGATTGCTGAGTGTCGCATTGGCATGGTCATGGACGTCGCTCGTACGTCCATGATGCATGCGGTTGCCCCCCATTTTCTGTGGCCGTTTGCGGTTCGGTACGCGGCGCATCAGCTCAACCTTCACCCCAGGGTCTCCCGGCCGGAGACCTCCCCAGCTCTGCTGTGGACGGGGAAGGTCGGCGATGCGTTTGCGTTCCGTGTCTGGGGATCTCGGGCGTTTGTCCGCGACTTGTCTGCGGACAAGCTCTCCCCTCGTGCTGCTCCCTGTGTCTTCCTAGGCTTCCCCCCTGACGCCCCAGGGTGGCAGTTTTACCACCCCTCCTCTCGTCGGGTTCTGTCCTCCCAGGACGTCACGTTCGACGAGTCCGTCCCCTTCTACTGCCTCTTCCCCTACCGCACTCCTTCCCTCCCCCCGCCACCGCACTTCCTTGTGCCAGGTCCCCCCCCGGTAGACCCCCTTCCCCCTCAGGGTCCTGCCCCTTCAGCTGTGTCCCAGGTAGATGCAGTCGAGCCGGTCGAGGTTGCTCGTGACTCAGGTACTTCTGGGGGTGCTGAGCCTGGGGGTGCTGAGCCTGGGGGTGCTGACTCTGGGGGTGCTGAGTCTGGGGGTGCTGAGCCCGGGGGTGCTGAGCCTGGGGGTGCTGCCTCTGGGGGTTCTGAGCCTGGGGGTGCTGAGCCTAGGGGTGCTGACTCTGGGGGTGCTGCGCGCGTGGGTGCTGAGCCTGGGGGTGCTGAGCCTGGGGGTGCTGCGTCTGGAGCTGCTGAGCCTGGAGGTGTGGAGCCTGCAGCCACTAGACCTCCCCTTGTGGCGTTAGGCGGTGCTGGGCGTTGAGGTTCTCCGGGTGTTTCATCTCGGCGGGAGCCACTCTCTCCACAGGAGCTGCGTGAGTGGTTTGCTCGCCGCTGGAGGCGTACTGCTGGAGCTGGCGCTTCTTCGGCCGCTGAGGGTGCTGGTGCCGCCGGTCCCGGAGCTGCTGGGCCTGCTGGTCCGCCTGGAGCTGGAGCTGCTGAGGGTGTTGGTTCTGAGACTACTACTGTCCGTCCTGGTGGTGGTCTTGCTGCGGGTGCTTCTGGTGCTACTGGAGGTCCTGCCGCTGGAGGTGCTGTTGGCGCTGGTGCTGCCGGAGGTGCTGAGGGTGCTGGTGCTGTCCCTGCTGTGTCTGGTGCCGCCGCGCGGCCTCGGCCGTACTTCGTTCCGCTCCTGTAGCAGGTTCTTGGTCCTTCTCCTCCTGTAGAGTGTCCACCGCCTATCCTGTCACAGTCACAGTTAGAGCCTGCCTCCCCACTGCCTGCTCCCTCTCCTTACACTGGTCCTATAGGAGGTCTTACTGAGCGTCGTGACCCTGCGTCTCGTCCCGCGTCGCCTATCCGTACTGCTCGCGCTAGTGGTCGTGGTTCGCGTCAGCGTCCTCCTCCTGTCCCTGGCACGCACCGGATGTCTCTGCGTCCCTCCACTGCTCCTCTGCGTGCCCCTTTGCCTTCTCCTCCTGAGTCCTCTCTTCCTGCGCTTGCCGACCCGGCGTCGGACTCCCTTCGTGCTGCCAGTCCTACTGTCACGTGTCTCCTTGCTACTGTCGTCACTGACCCCTCTTTTGAGTCCACTGCTGCGTCTGCTCTTGTTGCTGAGCTCGTCGACTTTGCTGCTCGCTGTCGTCTGGACTACGGTGCTAGTCTTGTTGCTGAGTCTGCATCTGTCTGTCCTCCGTCCGTCGGGGGTGAGTGTGCTCTTGGCAAGGACGTCCTTGAGGACAGGCAGGAGGAGTTTCAGTGTCTGGCTGCTGCTTCACCTCATCTCGCGTCTATACTGCTTGCCCCTGAGGGAGACCCGGATGCACTAGACATCCCGACTCCGCGCTCTTACGCGGAGGCCGTAGAGGGTCCCTACTCCTCTCAGTGGCAGGCAGCTATGGATGCAGAGATGGCTTCCTGGAAGTCCACAGGCACCTACGTTGACGCGGTTCCCCCTCCTGGGGCGAACATCGTCAGTGGGATGTGGATCTTCAGGGTGAAGCGGCCGCCGGGCTCTCCACTTGTCTTCAAGGCGCGGTACGTGGCTCGTGGCTTCAGTCAGCGGCAGGGAGTTGACTACTTTCAGACCTTCTCTCCCACCCCGAAGATGACCACTCTTCGGGTGCTGCTGCACATAGCCGCTCAGCGCGACTACGAGCTCCACTCTCTTGACTTCAGCACTGCTTTCTTGCAGGGTAGCCTGCACGAGGAGATCTGGCTGCGCCGTCCACCTGGCTTCACTGGGACTTTCCCTCCTGGCACCCAGTGGAGCCTCTGACGGCCAGTCTACGGTCTCCGCCAGGCACCGCGTGAGTGGCACGACACACTGAGGACTACGCTTGCGGCTCTTGGGTTTGCTCCCTCTACTGCTGACCCGTCGTTGTTTCTGCGCACCGACACTTCTCTGCCGCCGTTCTACATCCTCGTGTACGTCGACGACTTGGTCTTTGCCACAGCGGACACTGCTGGACTCGCCTACGTGAAGTCCGAGCTGCAGAAGAGACACACGTGCACAGACCTGGGTGAACTGCGCAGCTACCTTGGCTTGCAGATCACTCGGGACAGAGCACGCCGCACCATTACCTTGACTCAGTCACACATGGTGCAGCAGGTCCTTCAGCGCTTCGGCTTCACGTACTCCTCGCCTCAGGCCACTCCTCTGCCTACTCGCCACTCGCTCTCAGCTCTGCCTTCGGATGAGTCCGTAGAGTCGAGTGGCCCGTACCCAGAGCTTGTTGGCTGCCTCATGTACCTGATGACCTGCACACGACCTGACCTTGCATACCCTCTTAGCATCTTGGCACGCTATGTTGCTCCTGGGAGACACCGACCAGAGCACATGGCTGCAGCGAAGAGGGTGTTGCGCTACTTGTGCAGTACGTCGGGCATGGGGCTAGTGCTTGGAGGGCGGAGTCGAGTGGTCCTCACTGGGCACGCGGACGCTTCTTGGGCTGACGACCAGGCTACTCAGCGGTCGTCACAGGGTTACACCTTCAGTCTTGGTTCCGGCTCTGTTTCGTGGCGGGCTACTCGCTCGTCTTCTGTTCTCGGCTCCAGCTGTGAGGCTGAGATCTACGCCGGGGCCATGGCTGCTCAGGAGCTTCGCTGGCTCACCTACCTGCTGACTGACCTTGGAAAGCCGCCTCGTTCTCCTCCAGTGCTGTACGTAGACAACAAGGCCATGCTGGCCTTGTGTCGAGAGCAGCGCCTGGAGCACAGAACGAAGCACATTGCTCTCCGCTACTTTCTTGCTCGTGAGCTGCAGCAGCGTGGTCAGTTGCGACTTGCGTACGTGGCCTCTGAGGCCAACACTGCTGATGTTTTCACCAAGGCACTTCCGCCTTGTGATCATCAGCGCTTTCGCACTCAGCTCGGACTTGTCCCAGTCTTGCCTCACTTGCTCACCTCTTGACCTTACTTGTACTCTTGCATATATATATACCTCCTCTTGCTTGTTTAGACTTATATATATATATATGTCTCCTCCTGCATGTGAACTGGCCTTGTGGCCTTGACCTTGTGCTCAGACTGTGTGGTGACGTTGTGATCCACCCTGAGCTTGCTTTGCTTTGCTTTGCTTGACTGGTCTTGTGACCCCTTGTTCTCCCCCACTTTGCCTATGGGGGTGTGTCAGAACATTATAGCTTATGCTTTTGTGTAGGCTATAGTGGGGTATCCCATAGGGGGTACAACCCAATTAGGGTTAGTACTTGTACCCACTTCATTCATAGTTCATTCATTCGCGTTCACTTCTTCACATTGACCCCGCACAATTCGGGCAATTCGCGTGTCGTCTCTCCTCGTCCACCGATATTTTCGGACGCAAAACTCCATTTGCGCCTGGCGAGTTCCCCAGCTGACTTTTTCTCCACAGTTGCTCCGAAATTGTCGCCCACAGTGACGCACGTCCGTTGTCGCCAGCTGCCGAAACACATTCCGCGAGTCATGCGCGCAAAATGACGACGAGCCACCGTCGTAAATTGCCACATTAGACGAACTCCGAAATTCTCGCGCAGCTGTTGACCCAGGTCCGACGACGTCAACTGCCACACACGTTGACGACTCCGCGAATTTCGTGCAGGTGCCGACGCAGGTCCGCTGACGCCAGCTGCCACACAAAACTTCCGAAATCGTCGATAAATCGCTGCGGAAATTACTCACATAAACGTCGCGACAGCTACAGCTGCCCATTGCCCGGGGGGAGGGAGGCCACGGTCGATCGCGACCGTTCGAGGTAAGGATCTGGCGGTGCCGAAGGAGTACCCGTAAAACCATGGCCGCGAGGAGCAACTAACTCATTCTCCTGGCCGGCCTACGCAACTCCTGGACCCCAAGACATCCTTCCTCGTCCCCCCCCCCCCCCCCCCAAGGAGTACTACACTCTAAAAAGTGGGGTAGGCTAAGAAAGTAGCTCTGATACCAGGTGTTATGAATGAACTTGCAGAGTGCGCAGTAAAACGAATAACGAGAATGACTGATTACTGAATTACTGAATGACTGAATTCCGATACAATGAGAAAGGCACGACTAAATAGGGGAAGTCCTAGCTAGGCGGAGAGGTTGGGCGAGGATGGCTCGGTGATGGTTGCGATTGGAGCGGAGGCGACTCGGGAGTGGTTTGGTGCGACGAAATAGGAAGGACAGGTTCGTCGCGTGACTCTCGGGATGGCCTCGCTAACGAGTGCCTCAGTAAGGATTCTGTAAATCCTTACAGTTGGAGCCTTTTGGTGGTTACCCGGTTTGTGGTTGGGGGTCAGACGCAAACCAAAGTTCAGTGTTGGCGGACTTGCGCGGATAGTCTCTTCCCCCTTCGTCAGTTGTGACGGGCCTAATGGGAGTTGGGAAATTGATTCTTGACCAGGCAGTTAGGGCGTATCCCTGGGTGGTGGCAGGGCCACTGTAGAATGAGCCTGCCACGAACACATAAAACGCCAGGTTGGTGTCAGGAAATTTGGCGCGCGAATACAGGTGCGTGATTGGGCAATGCCCCAAAAATGTCACTTCAATGCCACCAAATACGAGTCGCGCGCGCCTCGGTAAAAATGTTGGTGGCATGCGGTTTTCCCGCATCCCACCAACTCTGCCATCTACAGTGGCCCTGCCACCACCCAGGGATACGCCCTTAGTGAACCACGAAGCTTGTGACTGTCGAACCAGCTCACTCATATTCCAAGCGAAAGAGTAGCTTAGCAACCACCGCTCGTATTCCATGCAAAGGAGTAGCTTAGCAACCACCGCCACAGCGCACCGTTATCATGAGATCGTTAGTTCTTCTGACGATAATCAAGACTGGGGCCGTAGCACAGTTTAGCCGAAGTCGTAACGTCGCTCCCGTGCCAGCCCTTCAAGTTCAGCACGCCGCCCAGTATTTATCTCTCCCGCACTTCGGCTCTTCCGCCAGACCTATGGCAGTTCCCCTTTAGTGCGCATTTCGCCGCGATGGCGCACTCAGATCGCCGTCTAGGGTTAACAGGCGTGTCGCATCCCGCACGTCGCGTGCCGTCGTTTTCTCGTCCAAGCAACCGCTAGCCGTCCTATGTCGCTGCCAATCGCAGCAACGGGTATCATCGCGACAACCGGGTCCTGCGCCTAGGCGGCCCATGCGGGCAGCAGCGGCGGCAGCAGAGGGGATGGGATGGGGAGGCGCGGCTGTCGACGGAGGAGGCGCAGGTCCTGAGTAGGCATACATGACATTCTCTAGATGATTCACGACCGCCTAGGTCTCTCGCGACATTCGTAAATCTTGTAACATTCTGGACTCTAGTGACATCGCACGCTTCGCTCACCTCCCTTCTGTCCGCGTTTCAACTTTCCTCTCCCCCCCCCCCCCCCTCCCCCTCCCCATTTCCCTCCCGCTTACTCTGCCTCCCAACAATCTCCGTGCGCCTGCTGCGTGCAGATCCGCTTGGAGGTGATGATTGAGGACCCGCGCGAGGTGGAGCGGCGGCGGCAGATGGGCATCGAGAATGAAATCGGGTGCTCCTACAACGAGATCGTCGATGCATTCCGCGAGGTAAAAAGGAGAGGGGAAGAAGGAGAGCTTGCTATAGCATGGGAAGAGGGTGGATGAGAGGTGGGGATAGGGAGAGGGCGGAGAAAGTGAGGTTGCGGGGGTTGGTTGGTGAGGAATGTGTGAAGGGGATACGTGGCGAAGAGGGACGTTTTCAACACTCGTATTTTGCTCGTCAAAGTTGCAAATCTTCGTCGTGCTCCACCTCTCTTGCTCCCGTCCGTCCTTGGGCGCTCAGGTGTGCACACCGTGCGTCGAGCCCCACCCTTAGCCCTTCTTGCCCTGCATAATCTTTCCCCCTCAGTGCCCTCCCCAACCTTTCCCCCTCTAGTCCCCCCCTCCCTTTCCCCTCTCCCCTCCCTTCCTCAACCCCCACCTGCCCCTGCAGACTGCAGCGGTGCAAGTACAGCATGCTGCAGCGCAAGCTAGTTTAGGGACATCTCGATAACCCTCCCCTTCCCCCTCACTGCCCTCCCCGCCCTCGTCTCCATACCCGTTCCCCTCTGTGTTCCCCTTCCCCACCCCCCACGTGTGCGATGACCCGCAGTCCGTTTGGTGCTTGTTTTGAGACAGCTATGAACATTTCCCTTTTTGCCCTCCCCTACGCTGCTCCCTCACCTCTCTCCCCCGCCTTCCCCTCCACCCCTCTCCCCCACCCTTCTCTCCCTACCCCTCTCCCCCACCCTTCTCTCCCTACCCTTCTCCCCCACCCTGTCATTTCTCCCCACTCTGTCATTTCTCCCCACCCTGTCATTTCTCCCCACCCTGTCATTTCTCCCCACCCTGTCATTTCTCCCCACCCTGTCATTTCTCCCCACCCTGTCATTTCTCCCCACCCTGTCATTTCTCCCCACCTTATCATTTCTCCCCACTCTGTCATTTCTCCCCACCCTGTCATTTCTCCCCACCCTGTCATTTCTCCCCACCCTGTCATTTCTCCCCACCCTTTCATTTCTCCCCACCCTGCTACCCTGCTATTTCTCCCCTCCTTGTCATTCCCTCACCCCCCCCCCCCCCCCCCCTGTCATTTCTCCCCTCCCTGCTCCTCTCTTTCCTTCCCCCCTGCTAACCTTGTGTTTACGCCCGGCTCAGTCTTTCTTTTCCCCTTCTTACCCTTAGTTCCTCCCTCCTCACTCTTTTCTTTTCCCCATGCTCTTTCTCTCACCATCCTTGTCCCTATGCCACTCGTTATCTCACAATCTGTTTATGCTCCCCTGTCTGCTCATTCACACCTTCCCTCTCCCTTAAGTGGTGCAGGTTGTCGAGCATGAAGCACCCAAGATGACAATTACCGTCACCCCCCGGATATATCCCCATGGGGGGCTATAATATAACATGTTTTTTTTAGGGGGTGGGCTTATAATATAGTAAATTTATAAGCGCCGGCGTTTATAATTTGTCAAATTTGAAAATTGTTTTTAAATATACCAAATCGAAGCATTCTCAAAGGCGGATTCACCTGGGTCGAGAACGTTCGAAACTGTGCATGCATTGCGCGTGAAACGGCCAACAAGGCGTGGCTTCACGCTTTCCACGCCTTGTTGGCCAGGCCAGGTTCATCGAACGTGAACCTGGCCCATGCCAGTGCACACGTACCTCGCATCACAGCGGCCCAATCAGGGTTGCATGCGATCGTGGGCACGTCGTGGTTCAGCCACGGTGTGCCCATCAACAGCAAAATTCCCCGCCACCGAGGCAAGGAGCTGCCCAGCTCAGCTCCTCTGCGGGGAATCTTGACTGGGGCCACCCTTTTCCCGCAGAGGAGGCCGGGCCGCGAAAATGAAGGGGTCTCGGGCGAGGGCTTCATACAGCCCTCATTCTCGACTTTTGCCTTCAGTTTCTTTGTTTGTTTGGCCTGCCGTGGCCATGGCGGGCCTTCCAGGCACGCATTTCTTGTTCCGCCGCCATCCTGCTGCCAGAGAAAACACCCGCCGAGACACCTGTGACTACTCTCAATGGCAGTCGCGCCCTGCGCCCGTCCCTCCGTGTCAACCAGTAGCTCCTCCCGTTCCTCCCACTCCTCCAACTCCTCCTGCACCTCCCGCTCCCCCGGCGCCTCCGGTTCCTCCAGCTCCTCCGTCCCCTCCTGACCCGCCTGTGTTTGGTGCTCCACGTCATGGGGTCCTGCAGCTTCTCCTCCCTCCTGGCTACTCGGCGTTTGACGCGTACCTGTCCGAGCCCGACCGCGCCGGTGGCGCATCGCCTTCCTCCGCACCGTCACCACGCTGGGGAGCCCCGGCTGATTGCCCGTTGGACGAATCCGCGACTGGTGCGGAGGATGACGTGGAGTTTTGGGCTGCCGACGGTCTTCCAGAGCACCTGCCTATTCCCACCTTCCCCCCCCCCAATAAGAAACGGCCCCACCCTTCTCGCGAGAATCGCGATGCCCGTCCTCCCTCCCCCAGGCACAAGCCTTCAAGTCACAAGCGGCACTCTTACACATCGCAGGAGAAACTGCAGTGGATTCTCAAGCTTGAGTCCGGGCAGATGAGCGTGCGGCAGATGTCTTGGATTCGTACCGCGGGCACCTGACTGCGGAGGTGAAGAAGAAGTTCGGGGAGCTGAACATCGTCCCTGCCGTTATCCCAGCTGGCTGCACCTCGGAGATTCAACCTCTAGACGTCGCGGTGAATCGCTCCTTCAAGGCATCCGTTCGCCAGCTCTACCATTAGTGGTTCGAGAGCGAGGGGGTCGACACCTTGACAAAGAAAGGTGAGAGAGGCAGGCCATGCGTGTGCTGCTTTATCAGTTTGTAGCGGTGGCTGACTTTTGATTGTTTAAATTTTATGGCAGGCAACATCAAGAAGCCACCACCCGAGCTAACGCTCAAGTGGATATCAACGGCTTGGAAGGCCGTGCCCAGGGACTTGATTCAACGGGCTTTCCTCACCTGTGGCATTAGTAACGCCCTGGATGGGTCCCAGGACAAGATCTGCCTGTAACACAGGCGCGACGAGCTTGAGGGCGACGAAATAGACATCGACGACGACATTGCAGCTGATGGCTTTTTCTGCAACAACGTAGAAGAACCAGAGTCGGACTCTGAGGCCGACCCGGATGATCCTACCGCAGCTGATGACTAGATTACGTAGATCTAGAAATTGCTGTAGCTTGTGAGACTCGTAGGTAGATTTAGAACTGTAATTAGAAAAAACTGTAGATAAACTGACTTTGTAGTTAATTAGATGAAAGTATAAGTTGTTAATGTGGTTTGTGAAGCTTGTAGAAAAATAATATTTAAAAAAGTGGTGGTTATAATGTGTAAGGTACAGGTATGCGGCTATAATCCGTACGACTCTAGGGTATGCGCTTATAATCGAGGAGGGGATATAAGCGCCATATGCCAATTAGAAGCGCCAGGCGCTTATCCTAGGGTGGCGCTTATATCCGGGGGGTGACGGTAGTTGAGCCTAGGATAGTGCGGACCCTCTCCACGTCGAGAATCGTAGAATGATGTTACTTACAACAGAATATACATTCACGTCAGAAACATGATATCCAATAATGATGGCATTGGTGATGTACGTTCAGTGAAGATTTCCTTTTTTGGCAACAATGCTTTACATGTGATGTACAGACTACTGCACTAGTATTGTTCTACAAATATCTCGATGTTCAAAACAGTGTCCCACCACTCCTCTTACCGTATTGTCTCAACTCCTCTATGTACTTTTGCCCCTGCTGCTGCACCCTTGCGCCACCAAACTTGTGAAGGCACGGCTTCGTCCTGCACATAGCAAGACACTAGAGGAGGTAGCACGCTCACAGGGTGATTCAGGGAGGAGAGACGGGGATACGGGGAGAAAAAAGGGGAGGCAGGGAGGTGAAGAGATGTGAAGGGAAGGGAAGGGAACGGAAGAGAGGGGAAAGGAATGGAGGTAAGGGAGGAGAGAGGAAGGGAAGTGCAGGGAGGACAAAGGAAGGGGAGTAAAGGGAAGGGAGGAGGGGAGGGGAATGGAAGCAAAGGGAAGGGAGTGGTAGTGTATTGCGAGGGAGTGAGAAGGTTCTCAATGAGGGGGAACAGGAAAGTGCGACCTGGGGGATGGGGGAGGAGGGACCTAGGGGGAAGGGGAAGTGCGACCTGGGGGAAAGGGGAGGAGGGGGATTGGGGGGAAGCAGGGGGGGAAAGAGGGGAAGCAGTGGGGGAAATGAAGGCACGCAAGGGGGGAAAGCTAGAGCAACGGGGAAGAAAAGGGAGAAACGGAGGGAAGGCGGAAAGGAAGGAAGGGAATGAGGGGTTAGAGGGGGGATCAATAAGGGAAAGGAAGTTGGTACATGAGGGAAAGGAAGGGAGAGAGGAGGACAGGGGGGAGAGGACAAGGGGGGAGAGCGGAGGACAGAGGGGAGAGGACAAGGTTGAGACGCATGCAGGGAGAAGCGGACATGGAGGAAAGTGGAGACAAGGGAAGGACAGCCAGTTTCGTCCCTAAAGGCGGCGAGGTGGCGGTGGAGGCGAAGGCGATGAGAGGGCGATGCGTCAAGCAGCGACGAGGAGGCGGCATGGAGGAAGGGAGGAGCAGACGAAGGGAGGGATCCATGAAGGGATACAAGGAGGAAGAGAAGTTGGGGGGACGGGGGCAAGAGAGTCCAACAGCACCACGTCCGCCTCTTCTGTGTGACTCTGCCCGCCGCCATCAACCCACAGCACCCCAAGGAAGAGGAGATGGGGTGAGGAGTGTTAATGGGAGTGGAGTGTTGGCCCCGCCCTCGCTTGGGCAACGCGGAGGACTTGGTCGGATGTACGGGAGTAGCAGCCGACCGTTCACAGTGGGAGAGCTGCTCGACAGGCTTCGTCGAGCTGCAGGGGACCGCTGTGGTGTTGCTCTCGACCAAGGAGCTCGACAGCTTCAAATGACTGGTCTGGGCGACGGGTGGGCCGTCGACCAGGAGGGGCAGTTCAACCGGGAGGTCGACGGAGCAGTCGACGAGGGGAGCTCCGCAACAACCGCTGACAGTTCTAGTCAACGGAAGGGGTCCGTCGACCAGGGGGTAGCTCGACAGGAGCTGTGGTCGACCAGGGGCACCTGTTGGTCGACCAGAGGGACCTGGTGGTCGACCAGAGGCTGTGGTGGTCGACCGGAAACACCTGGTGGTCGACCAGGTCGACCGGGTAACCTGCTCGACGAGTTTGGCGGAGACACGCGAACGTCGTCCAGGTCGTGATGGCGAACACGACTGCGGGCTGGTATTCCGAAGTCGATGTGGCTCGTCAGGTGTAGACAACAGCCGACGGATGCCCAATGGGGCAAGTCGGGCCAATCATCTGCGCGCACCTGCGAGCGTGCGCACTGCTGTGTTCTACGGGGCAACGCTGGACAGCCGCTCTGCTGCAGCGTTGGCACGCCGTCGACCTGCTCTGTTGGCAGGTCGCCTTTCCGCAGTGCTGGCGCGGCTCCTCTACGCAACGCTAGCAGGCGGTCGACCAAGCTGTGCTAGCGGTTGACCAGGCTAGCTGCAGAGTTGCTAGGTTCCTGATGCAGTCATTCTTGTCATTGTGAAATCAATCAATTATGTAATTTTGACTTTGCCTAGTGGAAACTCTTGCCAATTTCTCCCGTGAATGTGCAAGCACTAAGGAACTAAGCAAAGCTACGATCACTCCTAGTAGTTCGTGCCAGCCCCCGTAGTCTAGCTCACTACCATTGTAGAGTGATTCTCCGCATGGTGCGGTGAGCGTGGACGGCCCCGCAGATTACCTTCAGACTGGAGCCGAATTTTGCACCTACTAAGTCGTTCGTAGGTCGGAAGTAGCGATAGTCACCATGGTCGACCCTGTAGCTAATGCGGGTGTAGCGGACACCTTGGAGACACGCTTGGCTGATGCGAGGAAACGCCACGCGGATGGTGAGTACGGAACAATCCCCTTGCTGATCGTCGAGTTGGGCATCCGGTCGCAGTGGACCCTTCCCATCCTGCATCTCCTCGACCGGTGTGCAACGAAGGTGGCGTCGACGACGAGGTCGACGGTGGTGCACGAGTCAGCGGCAGCGAAGGCACGAGGCAGAGAGGGGTGATCAAGGTCGACGGCGGTGTCGACGGAATCCAGGCGCGAGTGCGCGGTAGACGGCAGCTGCAGGCAGCTCACGTGCCGACGTCGATGTTCGACGGCGCTCTCCTCTACGAAGTGGTGGAGGGCTCTCGGCGACGACGCATGTGACGGCGGGCGGGATTGCACCGGCGTACGGCTACTTCAAGTTCTCGCCGGATCGAATCACCGTCACACCTCTGCAAGGTCGACGTGACCTCATCACCTCGAGGGAGTCGATCGAACCTCAGCTGGAGGTCGCCGGGCTGAAGGGCTTCGCCAACGGCACCGTGCCCATTCCGCCTGAGGAGGATGTCGAGCTGCGCAGGGAGTTTCGTGCTGCCCACCTTCTCACCTTCATGGTCATCTCGAGGTGCTGCTCACCGGTGGTGCAGCTAGCGCTCAGGAGCTGTCGAGAGCGATTGGATGCTGGCCACCAGGCATGGCATTCCATCATGTCGACGTACCAGGCCAGAGACGACCTGTACATCGGACAGCTGGAGGAGAAGATGAGTCAAATTCGGATGGGCGAGCAGGAGTCGGCGACGGACTACTGCAACCGAGCTCGACGGATCCTAGCTGAGATGAGGGTCCAAGGGGAGGCCGGGAAGCAGGTCCTCATCCCCGACGTGCTCTACGTTCCGGGCGTACAAGCAAATCTGCTATCAGCTGGCCAGCTGAATGAGAGCGGAGTGCAGCTGCAAGGCGACGGCGACGAGATGCTGCTCGTCACCGCGACAGGAGAGATACTCGGTCGAGCACGCTACACCGGACGAGTCCCCTGCACCGACCTTCGCCCCTGCTCGACGCGGTCGCCGTCGACCGAGGTGGTGGCTCTGCGGACGATTGTCTCGGCGACAGCGTTGACCCCTGACCAGTTGCATGTGAGGCACGCGCACGTCGGCATCGACACGATTAAGAGCTCGGCGAAGCATGAAGTTGCTGTTGGGCTCGACATCACGCCGTCGACCGGAGCAGACCCGCTGTGTGTCTCGTGCGTCAAAGGAAAGCTGGCGCGGCACACCTTCCTCGACAAGGGCTCGGACGCCGAGGAGGCACTGGCTGTCGTGCATATTGACTTGGTGCGGGCCATTTCGGGTGGCTGTCAAGGATGGCAGCTTGTACTTCCTGCTGCTGAAGGATCGCCATACTCGGTTCGTATGGGCAATGCCTGTCGCTAAGAAGAGCGACATGCTGCAGGAGTTCCAGAAGTGGCTGGTACTGGTGGAACGACAGACAAAGAAGTCGGTGTTGTCGCTTCGCTCCGATCGAGGAGGGGAGTTCCTCGGGAAGGCGTTCACCGACTTCGTCGACGGGAAGGGCATCGTCCACGACCTCACGTGCCCCTACACTCCGCAGCAGAATGGCATGGCTGAGCGGGAGATGCGCACGGTCGTCGAGGCCGTGCGGACGATGCTGTTGCACATGGGCGTGCAGCACCACTGGTGGCACCTTGCTCAACGACAGGCTGTCTGGGTGCGCAACTGCTTGGAGCGGTCGAGGATGCCGACGGGGACGACTCCGTACCAGCTGCTGACCGGGAAGAAGCCCGACCTTACGCTGGCGCGGGTGTGGGACTCCATGGTGCAGTTCATGGTTCCCCAGCAGCAGTGCGGTGGGAAGCTGGCGCCAAAGGCTCGCTGGGGGCTTCACCTGGGTGTGTCGTCGGAGAGCAAGGGCTGGAAGGTGCTCAACCTGACCGACAACAAGGTGGTCACGTCGGTCGAGGTGATCTTCTATGAGATGATGTCGCTGGAGGTGTGGAAGGCAAAGTATGGGCCGGCGTCGGGGCGGACGCAGGGGCACCCGCCGACGGACACCTCGACGGCGACGATTCCGTTGCTCGCCGAAGTCGACGAGCCTGCTGATGAGGATGTTGTGGAGGTTCTTCCACCTCCCCCTGTTCTTGCTCCTTCGTTCCCCGTCGCAGATCGGCCTGTGTCAGCACTTGTGTCGACCACCGACGATGAGGGGAGCCTTGAGGCGTCGCCTGTGGCGCCGGCCCATGGCATCGCCGGCGGTCGACAAGGCGCCCAGCTCGTCGACCAGGATGGGAAGCCGTGAACGAGAGGGGAGCAGCAGACAAGGGAGCCGGTCAAACAGGAAGCAACAGCAGCGGTGCAGCCGACAGGGGAGCAGCAGCCGGGGCGGCCGACAGGGGAGCTGTCGAAGTCAGCAGCAGGCGAGTAGCTAGCTGGTCGAAGGGCCGAAGAAGCTGGTCGATGACGAGGACGTCGACGAGGAAGGGGAGCAGTCGGCAGGTGAGGAGTCCACCGACAACGAAGTGGTGGAAGTGCCGATCACGAAGCCTGAGCTGCGACGCACAGGTCGAGCTCGACGGCCGCCGGAGCGGCTGAGCTTCCACGCCTACCTACCACCAGCTGCCTTCACCACGGTGTACGACAAGGTCGACCACGACCTGTTGTACGACGACGCCGAGAAGGATGAAGACCTGCCGGAGCTCGACCCTGTCGTGCATGCCGACCCCGAACACCGCTGGGCCATCGCCACGATGACGGTGAAGGAGGCACTGTCGAGATGGAAGGGCGAGGCGGTGAAGGCCGCCATGGAAGAAGTGATCCGCAGCCTCATCGGTATGGGGACTTGGGAGCTGGTCGAATGCCCACGCGGGGTGAACATTATGAAGAACCGGTGGGTGCTGAGGACCAAGTATCGCATCGACGATACCGCCGAGCGCGAGAAGGCGAGACTGGTCATGAAGGGCTTCACGCCGATGTACGGCGCCGACTACGATGAGACGTACTCGCCGGTGAGCAGCTACGTCACGTTGAGGATCTTCCTCAGCATCGTCGCCGTCCTCGACCTCAACCTGATGCAGCTCGACATGAAGAACGCTTTCCTACAGAGCAGGCTCGACAGGGTGCTCTATATGTACCAGCCGGACTACTTCGACGACGGGACCGGCCGGGTGTATAAGCTGCTGAAGAGCCTCTACGGGCTGAAGCAGTCGCTGCTGCTGTGGTATAGGGCTCTCGACAGTGTGCTGCTGGGCGCTGGCTAGAAGAAGAGCCAGGTCGACGAGGCGCTCTACTTCAAGGTCAGCAACGACGGAGTGACCTGTTGGGTGCTGGTCTACGTCGACGACCTGCTCCCCGCCAGCAGCAGCACCGCGATGCTGAAGGAGCTGCTGGAGGCCGCCTTCGAGCTGCGTGAGATCTCGCCGGTGATGAAGTACCTTGGGCTGGAGATCGTGCGCGGCAGGCCGGCCAGGAAGCTGTGGCTGCACCAGCAGGGCTACGCCGACAAGCTACGCAGGCGCTTCATCGACGAGGAGCAGGGCGGTCGAGTCCCGAAGACGCCTGTCTCGGTCGACGCCTACACTCACCTGACGTTCGACGACGAGGAGGCTTAGGAGCGCGAGGTGGAGGAGTACCGGCAGAAGGTTGGCTCGCTGCAGTTCGCGGCGACGACGACGAGGCCGGACATCGCGTTCGCCTGCAGCAAGCTGGGGAGCGGCCTTACAGTGAGGAGCGACCAGCATTGGCGCGAGGTCGACCGCTACCTCGCCTACCTCGCCGACACCCGTGACACCGCCCTGGAGTTCGGCGGTGGACCAGAAATGTTGGAGCTGATCGGCTACGTCGATGCC